ATATATATATATATATATATATATATATATATATATATATCCAAATGAAATTAAAAACGTAGTGAAAAAATGGATTTTGATAAATCAATTTGTGCCGAGGGTAATTTTAGAAATAACCCAAAAAAAATTCAAAAAATGTAAAGATAGGTATTTATAGCAAAAATACATCCCAGTCATTTGTTTTAGAAAGCATTAAAAAACTATTACAAACAAATATCTTATTTTTTTAGATTTTTATAGTTTTTTAAATTTTATTTTAAGCTAGGATGGTCTAGCCGGTTGACCACCCAAACCCGGTGAACCCTGGGGCCATGAGTGTTACATTGGCAACTGCATTGAGGCACGTACGCGTCAGTTGCTTCGACCACGCATTATCAACAAATAAAAAGGTGCAGTTTGTATAGAGCTGAGGCTCTAAACAATCAAAGCAACACGTACCTTCAAATAGTGTTGACAACTGTGGTTTCAATACTGGAAATTCTTGTGATAGGCTTAGAATATATTTTCAACTTTAATTATAAAAATTTAAAGCATCAAAAATTCCGTAGATCGAGCATATCTATAAAAACTTGAAAACTTTTAAGAAATGTTATTAGTTTTTGAGTTCTAAAACAAGGTGCAGTTTGTATAGAGCCGAGGCTCTAAACAATCAAAGTAAAGCACGTCTTCAAATAGTATTGAGAAATATAGCCAGAAATTGTTGTGATAGCTTTAAAATATATTTTCATCTTTAATTATAAAATTTAAAGGCTTCAAAAATATTGTAGATCAAACACTTCTATGAAAACTTGAAAATCTTGAAATTTGACAGCCCAAAAATGCATTACAAGATACACTATTTCCAAAATTTGAAATCCATTGTTTTCTCATGTCCATGCATCTTGAGGTCGAGATGATCGATTTGAGGATATTTGGACATCAAAACAACCTCTTCTAGTCAAATTTTTTAGGGAGGCCCTAATTTGATTATTTAGAGCATCGACTCTATATAAACTTTTCCCATTTATTATTCAGTGAAGAAAAGTGGCGGTTATAATATTTATAACTATTATTTTACCTCCATTTTTTTTTTAAAAAAAAGCGTGCTGGACTTGTAACTCGCCTCGGCCAGGTCTTGAGTACCTTGGCCGAGCCGATTTTTTTTTTAACACTGGGGATACATATACTTAAGAAAGAGGTGAAAATGCATCATTCTCTTTGGTTTGAAGCCCTTTAACTCAGATTCCAAACAGGTCCAAAAAGATTAACCTTTTCCTTGCTACTTATGACATGTTTGAGTGTATTGCTGATGTGAATTATGGTTACATGAATTTTCTATTTTAAAAGATGCGGTCTGTAATTTCTTCCTGAAACATTTTGGTCTGTAATTTCTTCCCAAAAATTTTAATAACCTTTTTTTGCAGGGACCCACAGAAAATGGGTTCAAATACGGTGAGCAGATATTGTTCCGTTCTGCCTTGGACAAACCAAATCGTTTTCTATCTATTAAACTTGGAAATCCAATTCAAATTGCCATTGAGAATCAGTTTTATTATTAACCTAGAAGAAGATAACTTTTATGAAACACAGAAAACAAAAAAAAAAAAGATTGAGAGATGCAGGAAATTAAGAATGCCTTTTGCCATCGATTTGGTGCATTTTGCCTAACAAGCAGATGAGACTAATATATGGCTGGAAAGAAGATTTGATATGTAGGAAATTAAGGATGCAGTTTTCGGTCTCAGGCTATCAGCAGAGATAAGGCACTGAGGCCAAATAGTTTTTCTTTGTTATTTTTTTAACACCTTCTGGGATCTCCTAAACGAAGATTTGTTTGCACCATTGGACGAATTTCATGCTAGGGGAAAGATTAATTTGGCAATGAATTTTACTTTTATTGCGCTTATTCTCTGGTAAACAGTGATTGAACAAGTAAAAGTATCATACCCATTACTTTTCTGGGTAGTCTATATAAAATAATAGCAAAAGTGTTAGCTAATAGACTACCACATGTGCTTCATATGATTATAAAAGGCCATCGAAGAGAGTTCCTTAAAAATAGGTAAATTATGGATAGTATCCTGGTTGCACAAGATGCATATATTCAAGAACTAAATAGTACAAGCTAGGTCTCATTTGCAAACTAGACTTTGAGACGGCGCATAACAAAGTTGATTGGCAGGTGTTATATAAGATGATGGGCAGAATGGGCTTTCGGTAGTGGTGGAAATTATGGATTTTAGATTCTCTCTCCCGTGCACTTCTCTATTTTTATTAATGGGAAGCCTCCGGCTTCTTTACAGCATCGAGATCATTGAGGCTTTTCTTTACACTATTGCAGCTCAGTGTTATGCTTAAGTCTTTGGTGGACAATGGACTATTCTAGATTTTAAATTGAATACAATGGCTTAATGGTTTCACACTTGTAATATGCAGACAACATCATTATCTTCTGCAATCTAGAAGAGGAGGTAATAAAAAATCTATAGATTTTTTTGAAATGCATGGAGTTGGTCACAAGTCTTAAAATTAATTTGTCAAAGACCTATTTTATTGGAGTAGGGTGTGCAGAAAACTTGGAAAAACATTGGCGAGGGTATTAGGTTGTGGAGTGGAGAACTTGCCTTCTAAATATCTTTGGTTATCTAGGGATAGAGCGACGTTAATTAAGTCCACCTTCTCCAATTTACTTGTTTGTTATAAGTCTTTGTTTCCCATGCCTAGGCAGGTGGTGAGAGAGTTTAATTCAAGGAAGTTGCATCTCGTCAAATGGGATCAATGTTGTGCTATTATAAAAGGAGGATTAGGGATAAGGAAAATCAAAGTCATGAATTCCAGCCTTCTCACAAAATTGTAGTGGAGATATCATGAAAATAACCAGTCCTGCTTTGTTCGTAAAATAAAAAAAAAAAAAAAAAAAAAAAAAAGAATGGTGTTGATGAGATAAATAGTTTATTCAAAAGCCCAAGTAATAGGCCATCTGTGTCTACTGTTTGGAAGGGGATCAACTATTGCAAGTCAATTTACCTTTGCCGCATCGCACGATGATGGGAAATGGCGAAAATACCTTATTATGGTATAACAAATAGCTAGGGGAATTTTTTCTGTCTTACCTCTTCCTTGAGGTCTTCTCAAATGCAGTAACCCTTTATTCACGGT